TCTACACTGTGGGCGTTTTTGTTAATTTATGACTTGACTTTGTAACAACACACATTACTTGTTGACTGTTACATTAATTTGATTTAACTATAGTTATGTATAAACGTTAATACTCTTCAAACCACTCAAAAAGATTACAAAAATAACCAGCTCAGGTATTTGCATTTCAGAGGTAATTTCAGAAGTTGACATAGATAGATCTTCATTACAAATTAATCTTAAAACATTATTTAACTTTAATGGGAATATCATTTATAGGGTTGCAATAAAATGATACAATAAACCCTACTCAGTGAATGGCTGCTTGACGCCGATGAACCCTAACCGGTGACTAGTAAGACCAGTGATGATTCAGCTCTACTTCATAAAAAAAAGAAATGTAAATGAAAATAATCAAACTTATCTCTACAAAAAGATAGATACATATGAAGATGTAAGAAAGAATAATTCCAATTGCAAATGATATTAGTTTTTACATAAAAAAGTTTGCTTAAGCGGGACAGCAAACCCTTACAAGTTTTGGTCTACAAACAAAAAACACTATCCTAACAGAACTTGCTAAAAAAAAAATTATTATTTGTTGGTTGCATTATACATAGTGAATGGCTATTTTAGGTAGGATGACATCTTTAATTACAAATATTACTTTTTTTTTGTTTACTCCTATAAAGTTTTATCTAATTTATAGTATATTAGCATTTATAGTGTGTATATATATATATATATATATATATATATATATATATATATATATATATATATATATATATATATAGATTATATACATTGTAAATAAATATGCTAAATGCTTGTAAAAGGTTCTGATGATAAGATCAGTACGACCTTCTTTCAGAAACCTTGTTTGTATTTGTTAAAGTATTGTATTACGACAAATGTAAACTTAAAATGTAAAAAAAAATATATATATATATATACACTTGATGCTTTTGATTTTCATAAATACTTTCATACAGGGATGCTTCAAGCTAGCTTGGGGCCCTGGGGCTAAAATAAGTTGTGAAGCTCCAAAATCAAAATGTTTTTTATACAATCATTGTAAATATGATTGTAAAGACTTAGATATATAGCAAGTATGTAAGACAGTCCCTAAATCATTGGGGTCTTGGAATAAATTGTCCAGTTGTCAGAGCAGCCATTCTCTCATTGTTTTGCTCCATTAACATTTAAATAATACAATGTTAAAAAATAGAAAACAAAAATAAATTACTTTTTTGTTTTTATGACAATTTATTTAAAAAAAATAAGAGTTCCAAATGATTGAAGTGTGTGTCAAAAAACCAAAGGACTATATTTTGGAGCATGCAGGGGCAGATGGAGTAAAATACAGATACATTAATGCGACTTTGATGAATAACGAGTCAAACAAGAATGAGTTTTAGTTGATGGAATTAGAGATGATTCCTTTGATCAGCGATCATTATAGTACTTGTAAAAAAGAGAGAGAGATACAACTTTACGACAATGGGAAAGAGGTTCTGGCTTAGCAGATAAAGGGGGTCCAACTACGTTTACAATCTGTTTTTTAGACCTTGATTTCTTAAAAGAGAAAGAGCATCATTAGGAGAACCAACCCAAATATGACACCAGTGTTCCAAGCAGTGACAAATAAGAGATTTGTTGAGATAAATGGAATCAGGAGAGAGAAAATGGCGAGCATAATTTAGCAATCAATTATATATATGGTTTCCATGAAAGGTCAGTAGTTATCGATAATCCAAGAAAATGTTAAAAAGAGGACTTATTGAGAGGGTTGCCATTAATTGATATAGGAATGTCGACAATACTGCAATAGTTGTTTGCAGTAAATAACTGAGTTTTGTTGGAGGTAAAATTTACAAGAGACTCTGAACCCTAATCTGTTATAGAAGTGAGATCAGATTCAAGATTGGCTGCCTGTTCTAAACGATTGAAAATAAAAGATTATTTGTCAAGACAGGAGTATAAAGTTGAGTCATCAAAAAGTGCTACTTTAGATTTATGGTTGTCAGGAAGATCATTAATGAAAATAAGAAACAAACAGGACCAATGATAGAACCGTGAGGTACCCCAGAAGTTACTAAAAATAAAGAAGAGTGTTGGCCTTTGAGGATGACTTTAATAAAGCAGTTAGAAATAATTTGATTATCTCAAAAACGTTATCAGATACACTATATGAAACAAGCTTAAGAGAAGACCACCATGTCAAACTTTTTGAAAGTCTTAGATATGTCAAGAGCAATAGCCCTAGCCTCTCCGTCTCCATCTAATGTAAAATAAAATCTTCCAGTCACAGCAGTTAGCAAGTCAGACAGAGAGCGAGAGGATCAAAAACTGTATTAATTATCTGACAGTAAGTTATTTGACTCAAGATGGGATGTGAGAAATTTGTTAATCAAATACTCAAAGTTGAGGAATGTTTGTCGAAATATTTTTAGACTTGTTCTATTAGAAATAGATTTGTTGCTATGTTTTTTCCAATGTTTCTTGTGCATCTTTTTTCAGATAAAGGTTTTCCATCTAAAGCTAACATTAAATGCCGATTTTTCAACGTTTCCTAAGAATCTCTTCGCTAATAGTGTTTTTCCATCTAAAGCTAACATTAAATGCCTAGGTGGCAACTCGTTGGTATGTAGCATTCAAATAATCCTTATTAGCTTGAATCCTTTCTTCTCTAAATATTGAATAACATCCTTCCAGCCTATAATAATTTTTTATTTTCAGTAAAAAATATAAAATTTTAAATAATCATTTAAAGATATCAAAATAAAACCTGTGTTAAGTTTGGTTGAAACTCCACTTATTGCAACTAATTGGTTTTCAATGCCATATGATATTATCTAAGCATACAGTTGTTTAGCAATATGTTCAGCAATTGTTCAATCATCTTTCTCCAGTTCAGACACAATAATGATTTTCTTTGATCTCTCTTGGGAAAGATTTACCATCATTACCATATACAACTGTTTTTGTAAAGTCCTTTTAGACCATCAAACATGCATTGAATGGCCTCTTCCTTAACTTGATTGTTATGCTTCTCTTTACAGGCCTCCGTCGCTCTTTGCTTTTATCTCCCAATTTATTTTATAATCTATAGCTAGGCTTTTATCAGGCATATGATCTTTTAAAATGCTTGCATCCTTAGCTGTTTTTAATGTTGCAGTGTCTATTGATGCAGTTGCTCTGTTTCTTATACCAAATCTAAATGCTGACAAAGCAATGTGATTTACATTTAAGGTTAAAAGCTGAGAAACATTTTTCATATCTGGTAAATAAACATTGTCATTATAATCATTCTCGACATTGTCTGACTCCATATCATTTTGAGATAGCAGAATACTGTACATTCTACTGTAAAATCAGAATACTGTACAGTCTTGATCCTAACTCGTATTGATTTGTTTTGCATTCTTTGATTTTCTTTTGTCTTTATACTTCTTTTCTATCAAATGAATCTATTTGTATTCCACTTTTAGAATCAACTTTATCCCTCTGCGACTTTAAAAGTTCAAGTTAATAATAGGAATTTTGTTACAATCAGAATCTTCGCATTATTTTATTGCACATTTACACCTAGCTATGTCAAACAGTTTATCTAAGATCAATTTATGATCAGAAAATTGCTTAGATGTTCCCCTACCTAACGCCATATTATATGCTTTTTTCCAGTCATTACGATTCATACCAGTCATACGATTCTTTCTTTTGCTCTTTTATCAGAGATTATGGGTATAAGTGGATTAACTATTTGCGATAAACATTTTACTAACTATTTGCCATAAACATTTTACATTCTACAATTTTTCTAAAGTTTGCCTTAAATCTTAGTCATTTTCTTTAATCCTTTTGAGAATGAGACCCTATCTTAAAATATCTCTAAAAGTTGGTTGTTCTGACTCTAATAACATTTTTCCTGTACAAGTTAGCTTTCTTAATTTAAGTCTCACTTTATGATGAGTTTTTTGAGCCATTATTTATAACTACACTTATTTCTATACAATAATTGCATGCGTTATTATTTTTTCCTTTTATTAATTAACTAAAGTGTTACTAGTGGTCCAACTTTGGCTTATATAAACAAAAAGTTGCAGAAATACGTCATCAGTACATAGTACCAAATTATTTATTACCCGTTTCCGTGGTAAAATATTCCCTTAGTTGTAATAATGTAGGATCATATTTTGAAATGTTTTTAGTTAAAATAGGTGTAGCTTGAGACGATTAAACAAAATGATAAAACTTTTCGAGCTGAAAATTACCAAACGTTAAATGCAAAAAAAATCAGTAGTCAGTATCATGTGGTCAAAGACATAAGAGAATCAGTACTCAGTATCATATGGTCAAAGACATGAAAGAATCAGTACTTAGTATCATATGGTCAAAGACATAAGAGAATCAGTACTCAGTATCATATGGTCAAAGACATAAGAAAAAAGGCCAGTCGAACCTAAATTCAAAAATTTTTGAAGTGACCCACCCTAATGATTATGTTTAAAGACAGTTGTCTTCAGATTATTTTATAAACAACAACGACTGTAAATAAATAGTGTCTACTATAATTTTTTTTAAAGAATGCATCAAGTTAATTCTGCCTCCTTTTCCTTTCAAACGTAAATCAAAAAAGTATATATATATATATATATATATATATATATATATATATATATATATATATATATTTATATATATATATATATATATATATATATATATATATATTTTTTTTTTTTTTTTTTTTAATGCACAGTTATATCTAGTTTATGTTAATTTATTTTGACTGGTTTATTTTAATTGTCTTTTATTATAATTTATATTGTAAAGGGCTTTGTGAAAAGATGATCTTAAAAAAACAAGTTCAATTATGTCAAGGAATTATTTTATAGAAAAATTGTGTCACATAAAATATTTAAAGAAAATTTTTTTAGTAATGAATTCATTTTTATTTATAAAACTTATAATATTATTTTTGAATTAAGTTTGATAATTGTTATTTAAATTTCAAGGTTCAATCCGAGGCTATCCGCAAATTGACCGTTTTTTTCGAAGTGAACTTCAAAATTTCAAATACACTGGTGTATTTTCTGGAATTCGAGATGCTCGTAAGTTTGCCAAAGAAGGTCAAAACCAGTCTTTAGGCTCTTCAAGATTCGTTTGTGGAACGGACTTCTCAGCAACTTTTGAACCTAACGGGATCGGTAAAAATGCATACGTGCTGATTACAAAAACAAAATTTTATTTTGAATCAATTTTAGCCGAGTACGCTAATTACCGTAAGCTACATAATGACATAAATTGCTATATTAAGTCCAGTGAAGATCGTTGTGTTAACTTTGATAACTAAATATGTCTTTGAACAATCTTTGTATATACTTGTATGTTAGTTAATCTTTGGTTATTATCTTCGATTTATTTTCAATAATATTTTTGATAAATAATGCTGATAATTTATTATTATTTACCGTAACTTGGGGTTACTAAGAACCGCTTTATTGCGATTTTTGGTTTTAAAATCAGTTTTGATCTATACAAAATATTTTTTTTAATTTTTTTTTTATAATTAAATTATTGATAAAGATAAATCTATAATTTGAGCTAATTGATTTAATAAATAGATTCAAAACAGTTATACTTTTTAGTTTTTCAAAAAGTTGCCTAATGTTACCCTGGGTTGGTGTTTCTTTAAGCCTTGTTGTGCTGTTTTGTTTTATTTACTTACAAATTACTTAAGCAAATACCTTATACATAATGATAAAACAAATATTTATTTAAAGTTTACTTTATTTTAAAACAAATGCCCTTAGATTTATATAAAGTAAAAAAAAAAATTAGAATTAATATAAAAAACTTTGTATATTTTATTAAATATTGTTTTTGTTCAGTAATAACTTAACTGGTAGGTTGGTAACTACTCTACATGAATATTTAATGTTTAGAAATAATTGTTTTAATCAGATTTAAAGGCAAGTAGCAAGTAGCTTATACTTATATTAACTGATGTTGCTGGATAGATGTTACATTTAACTTTTTTTTTGAGGACAGATTCCTGGTAAAACATTTAATTTCTTTTTGCGTTTTAATATTGAAGGTTCAAGGTCTGCATATTTGTCAATCAAATGTTTTATTAAATTTAGAAAAAACTTGGGATGAAAAACCCACAAAAACGTCATGACTTTTTTCAACGAAGTCATAACGGTTTTCCACTTTTTGTGACCTAAAGCAGGCAACATCTAGAGGCTGCACAGTGAATCGCTTTATGTAAGCTAGGTGAACAAAAATATTTTGTTATGCAGTTTGATTCCAAAAAGTCTAATTAATAATATTTTGATTAGTTACGCATTTTTTGATTGTTTTTAAGTTTTATATGTAACTATTTTTTATAGCTTGAAGAATTTTTAAATTTTAGAAAATAAAAATAAATACTTTATTTTAACACATAAAATATTGCCAAAAATAAAAAAATATACTATAATTCAGATAATAACGTGAAATAAAATAAAAATATTTTGTTAACAATTACCATCGGATGAATCATTGTTATTTTCACTATCCGAAGAATCAAAAAAAAAAATTTCATCGCCACGCAGAATTGTATTTCCAACCATCCGTGGTGGTATTACAGGTGGGACAACTAAGTTCAAAACTTCTAATGGTAATTTACTCGTTTTCTTACTTGACTCTGTGACTCAGATTCATAAACTAGAGACTTATTAGACTCAATCACCTCAAATTAATTTCTACCTCACATTTTCCACCCTACTCGTATATGTGAAACATCAAAAACATTAATTGACAACATCTTTTCAAATATTAAATCAAATAAATATAAAGTAGGGAATCTTACCACCACAATCTCAGATCATTTTCCCCAATTTCTGATAGCTTATAGTATTTCGACGTGAGGGTTAGGGTAATTATAATTACCACCAACTAACAAAAAGCTCTTAATATAGGAAAGAAACTGGAAATGTTTCAATGAAGTTGAATTTAGAAATGATTTTCACAAAATTAGTTTAGAGAACCAAAAATATACCTTAATAATTATACTCTCTTGAGAATGCTATTTCCAACATTAATCTACTGCGCCTTTGAAGAAAATTAACAAAACAAAACATTAAATTCCAAGCTAAACCATTGATATCAGAAAAACTCAAGCGCTCTATACAGCACAAAAATATATTAGGTCTAAAAATCAAACTAATAACCATATTTCATAATTAGTATAAACAATTTAATAATAACCAGGCGATTCTTGCAAAATATTTTATCTAAACTTAAAAAAAAGAAAAAAAAATATTATGATAATCATTTTACTTAAACATAAAAATTATAAAAGCAAAATTGAAAGGGTATCAAAAACATTACTATTATTTTATTACGAGTTGAGATTTATTTGTACTACCTCAAACAATATTGCCATAAGAAAAAATATTTATTTATGACTGCAAAATATGATTGAGTAAGTGTAGATTTGTTTAAAATCTGACTGGTTTTTGGACGAAAACTCATTATATTTTGTTGCCACCAATTTTACATCAGAGATCTGTGTGTTGTCTACAGTAATCACGCTTGGTAAGACTTTGTTGTGTATTTTTTGTTTTCCAAGAATCTTTTTAATTGCATCCCACGTTTTTTTCCAGTTACCTTTTAATTCTAACAGCTTGTTTTTGAAGTATGTAGTTCTGGCTATTTTTTTAGTTCTTTCATATAGATGTTCTAAGTAATTATGCTTATTACGATTTAATAAAGCTTTTGTTTTTGCTTCGAAGACTTTAAAAGGTTTTTAGTGAACCAAGGATTAAGAAGTCATTTAGTTTTAATACGGCTTGTATTATATGGAAATGCTTATCGTACAAATTGAAAAATTTATCTAAGAAAAGGTTGTAGCTGTTATTAGCACATTTCTCGAGAAAAATAAAGTTCCAATTTACAGTCGACAGCTCTAGTTTAAACATATTTTTTGCTCGGGTTGTAAAGATTCTTTTTTTGAAGTACCAGTCCTTTTTTAGTATTTCTTTTGGTTTTTTGAAAGTTGTAAAGACTAGGAAATGGTCGTTTATGTCACTTTTAATGATGTCTGATTTAAATGTGGAGTGGAAGAATGTGTTTGTGAAAATATTGTCGATTGTAGAACAACAGTTTTGGGTTATTTCTGTTGATTTCTTTATTATTGGCATCATTTCAAACTCATTAAAGCGATCGTCAAATTGTTGTACTTTATTATTTTCACCATATTTTAAATAGTCGACGTTATAATCTCTAACAAATAAAAATGAGCGGTCAGGGTTAGGGTTATTACATCTTTTAATGCACTACAAATTTTAAAAGTGCATGAAATAATCAAAATTGAAAATTGTTTATTTATTCACAGCTGCCTAAACTAAAAACTACCTTATATTATTTTATTAATATGGTTAAATAAAATTTTAAAAAATTAAACATACACACAATTTAAAATAAAAGCAACGTATCTTTAATCTTCTTCAAAGAGAGATTACTAAGGTTTATCGGTCAAATGTTGAAACCAAATTTTGTTCTATTTGCGGTAATCCCACACAATAATTAATATGAATTCGTTACATAATACAAATTAAGGTTTTAAAAACTTTTAATTTGTTTTAAATTATAAGGCTTTTATTCTGCATAGAAATGCTGCTTCAATTCATCTAAAGTCACACTTGGAAGCTTTCAAAGTGTATGAGGACCTTCCCTAATTTTATTATTTTTTTCAAAATATTTTTACTTGTTTATTATTATCCCCTCCATAACAAGACACTTGGGAGTAAATAATACTAAGTATATGGTATAGACTCCAACTTTAACTCTGTAGTCCTAAATTTATAACTTTATTAGACACTGGCAATTAGCTTATTTTTATAACTTGTCCCACAGTAGCTTATAACTTTAATTACTTAAAATTTTTTGCCGAAGCCAAAGGTTCGGCAAAAAATTGACCTGGCTTCGGCCGAACCGAAGCTTCAGCAAAATTGCCGAAGCCGAAGCCGAAGCTTCGGTACATCCCTATATTTAATAATTCTTTAAACTTGTCAAAGTTTTGGTTTATGCTCCTAATATTTATTTGTTATATAGAAAATGAATTTTTTTTTTTTTTCCCCTTAAAATCATAAGGATTAAAATACGGTGTTTTCATTAAATTCCTTTGAGTTTCTTGAAAAATATTTGTGATATTTTTTAAATTGTCTTCAAAGGTTCAAAAATTATAATTTCAAAACCTTGTTGAAAAATATTATTCGAATCCATTTTTAAGTAAGTATATGAGAATTTACCTATAAATACATTCATAAATTATTTATCCCGAGGTATTACATTTTCTTTTTAAAAAATAAACTTAATTGGTTGGCAACAATATAGTAAAATTAATACCATACTATTTTTTATGAAGAGAAAATGCAATAAATCCTTTGTGTTTTACTTTAAGTCCGCCATTATGTTGGGAAGTTTTTTATAATTTGTGGGCAGGCACAAAAAACTTTTATATATTTTTAGCTAATTTTTCGTTGAATATCAATCTAAAGGGCTGTTTATATGAATTGGCTTTGCTCAGTATTTTTATTCTATTTATAGTTTGATGAAGAGGTGCTACACCAGGCCCACCTATAATGACGAAAATAAAAATAAAGAAGCTTACGACAAAACAGCAATAGTGTCTCTAAAAGTTAATTTGCTATGCTGTCTTTAAAAGCATTGATTGGTTGAGCGTTCACTGATGGTTGGGAAGCGCACTCCATGGTATAACAACTCTATTTGATAAAAAGTAGTTCTTCACAATTCCTTACAAGCTACCATTCTAGTTCATAGTTATGCCCTATTAAAATGAACTTGGCTTTACTGTTTAAAAGTTTTTACGAAAAAAATAACAAGTTCGAGTTGACGCATGATTTTAACTTGCTCGATAAGGTCTACTCTTTTATGTCATTCTTCAAGTGTTGTTAGACCGAGCTGTTCGAGTCGATTTTTATAGAACAAGTGTTTAAAATAAGATATTGTTTTTGTTGTTCGGACTTTAAATGTGACAACCAGGCTTGTACAGCAAACTCAAGGTGTGAGCAAACGTAAGTAAGATGAAGTATTTTTTTGAGTTGTCCCAGCATTCTATTTGCAATTGATGCGGCTATCTTTACTTTTGACCTGACGTTATGTTTATTTTTAGACCATTACACCGAGGTTTCGTTCGACTACAGTCTTTTCGAGTGTACAACGCGTGCCGCCGACGTTGGCCATTGCGTATTCGTGCGTCAACTTGTTATATTTGCGGCCAACATGCATTATTTTGCATTTCTCAATGTTAAAATACATTTGCCAAATATCCGACTTTTTTAATTATGCCATTAATTTAACTGTATTTTACATTAATTTATACTGTAATTCATCAGTATACAGTTTCTTATAGTGAGTGATGCTGTCCGGCAGGTTACTAATGATTATT